CACCGAAGACATCTCAGGCATTTTCCAGTTTGGGCCACTTGTTGTAGCACAACAACTAACGGTTCCACAAATGCGCTGAGAAAATCTCACCCTTTTTATCACGTGACTTGTGAAAACCAACGCTCTGGAGAGCAAATGGTTAAAGTCCATGCACACGTCTAGGACAGACTAGCATGAGTGATAGACCCTGTACTTATATAGGACCTATTTGCACATGAAGAAGGGTCGCATCTCCACTCCATGCACATGTCTAGGACAGACTAGCATGAGTGATAGACCCTGTACTTGTATAAGACATACTTGTACATGAAGAAGGGTCGCATCTCCACTTGATGCGCACATCAAGAGATGGAGTTGCAATAGATAACTAATGGAATATTAGTATATCTAAAATCCACACGAAAATGTCAGGAGAAGTTTCGGAAGAAATCTGATAAGTTGTGGTCCCCCCAGTCTCATCAGAGAGAAGTTGGAAGAATCTTCAACAGTGCCATTATAAGTTCCCAAGGGGGGTAGAACAGGACATAAATCTACAACCAGTGAATCCAGAATTGGCTTGACCCACCACCGTTTCCTACGGATTCTGCAAGCATAATTAGCATGAGTCAGGATAAGGAAAAATATGTAATTTTCTGACTAAAATTGATATTTTATACTTATCCTGACTCATGAGGTTAGCCCTCCCAACCTCCCCTCTTATGGCACTCTGGATTTCCCTGTAAATCTGGGTGTCGGGCTTACATACGGAGAGAGTGACAAATATGGCCGATCATGTGACCATTTGGGTGCCAAAGGGAGGAAAGGGACGCTACTCTGGGTGAGTGATTTTACGTCCGCTTTTTTAAAAGGGAACTTCAAGGGATTCAAGTGTTCCACTATCATTCGCAAGAGGAAGGAGACAAGCATAATTAGCATGAGTCAGGATAAGTATAAAATATCAATTTTAGTCAGAAAATTACATTTTTCAACGTTACGAATTTGTTTTACAATACATCAGTTGATGTGCAAACAGTACCCTTAAACTGTATAGAATATTTTGCAAAATCTAGTTTAGATCAGCTGACTGAAGGAAGTGGCTACATATACACTAGTGAGTCTAAACTTTTGATGGGAAGTATAGAATTCAAATGATTTCCAGTAAGTAGTGATAAATTCTTTGTAAATAACCCAGTGCCTGTCATCAAGCTTCAAAAGTCAACATGAACAACATATGAGGTGATGAAACTGAATTACTGTGATTTAAGAAACTACTGAAAATATTTCTGGCTTAGACCATTAAACAAAAGGAATCTGTCTTCCATAATAAAAGATTGATTCTTTATTTTATAAATGAGGTAAGTTTTTAGCTCATAATTATATTTTAAAATGAATCTTGTTTTGTACCTGTATCGAAAAATAGATCCAGTCTCCATACAAAATCTCCTCAGGCAAAACGCCTAATGGATGTCAGTCACTATAAACATAAGGGAAGCAAATCTATAAGTTGCATTTTTAATTTTTAATAAAAGTAAAATTTTGGAAATTTATGGCAACATTTCTCATTACAATTCTTATTTGCACCAGATAGAAATATCTTTTTGGAAGCAATTGTAAGCCTATGTAAGCCAGTTGTGTTGTCAAGTTAATTTTTGTCACATTAAAGACAAATGGACTGCCATTATTGCATTGTTAAATTTGGAAAATAGTAAATATATTTGGTACCAGAAAGTATTGTTAAAGCAGGGCATGAAGCTCCAAAACATTGCAAGCCCTGACCAAAAATTACTTGCCCACAAAATATCTACACATACATATTTAAATTTTAACCCGACTGGCAGGTGAATTTGAGCATCTGGCATTCCGTGTTGAAAATAACCGCCCCGGCAGTCGGGTAGGCAGGTATTTCAAATGCTGGTTAAAGATATACAGAGGAACCTTTTGTCAGAGCCGGTTTGCAACACTCATTACTACGTAGATGCATCGCTACAAGGATGGGGTGCCCACTTCGACAACGAAGTGACAGCAGGGAAGTGGTCAAGTCAGGATCAGAGTCTGCACATCAACTTGTTGGAGATGAAAGCAGTATTGCAGTTTTGCAGCATCGTCGATGACCTGAACATCTACATTCATTCCAGGAGCAAAGAATGTCATAGCAGATGCCCTATCTCGTCCACTACAACCATTTCCGACGGAGCGGATGTTACACCAAGAAGCGTTCCGGCTCATCATACAGACAATAGGATCTCTACTGGTAGACCTGTTTGCAACAAAGTTCAACAAACAACTACCAACATTCGTCGCTCCGATTCCGGATCCTCAGGCATGGGCAACAGACGCTTTAAGCATCTCATGTGAAGGACTAAACGCTTTGGCGCGTTTCCACCTCCAGCATTACTACCACATGTAATACAGAAAATCAAGCAGACGACAACGCTGAAACTGATTTTGGTCGCGCCCTATTGGCCAGCGAGGGTATGGTTTCCCGTCCTCATACAAGAACTCAGAAATCCAACCCTGAAACTACCACAGTGGTCGAACCTGCTTGTCCATCCACCAAGCAAGCTCACGGGAATCCGGCATTGTTCCAGTTACACACGGAGCCGATCAAAGCTTGCCTGAAGACTAGAGAGGTTCCTCGCCAGAGCAGCGAAAGCAGTAATACTAGCTCTACGCAGATCAAATCGTAACTTGTTCTACGACAAGTGGCAGAGATTTGAACAGTATGCAACGAGGAAAGGCTTTACAGCAGTAAAAGCAACCCATCCTCAAGTAGTGGAATACCTGTGTCATCTGCGAGACAGACGACACTTAAAAGGTTCAACACTCTCAACGCATGCTTGGCTGCTCTCAGCACAGTTATCATCATGAAGACGGGTGTTAAGCTGACCAAAGTACCAGAGATACTGGCACTACTACATTCGTTCAAGTTGGAAGACCCACAAAGAAATTCAAGGCTCCTACCTGGGATCTCAACATAGTTCTGAAACATCTCACCAGTGATGTCTGCGAGCCTCTAGAACGGAATCCTTTTGGAGATCGAACACGGTGTTTGCCAACCACTACCTCAGAGACATTGCCACCGAAGACATCTCAGGCATTTTCCAGTTTGGGCCACTTGTTGTAGCACAACAACTAACGGTTCCACAAATGCGCTGAGAAAATCTCACCCTTTTATCACATTGACTTGTAGAAACCAACGCTCTGGAGAGCAAATGGTTAAAGTCCATGCACACGTCTAGGACAGACTAGCATGAGTGATAGACCCTGTACTTATATAGGACCTATTTGCACATGAAGAAGGGTCGCATCTCCACTCCATGCACATGTCTAGGACAGACTAGCATGAGTGATAGACCCTGTACTTGTATAAGACATACTTGTACATGAAGAAGGGTCGCATCTCCACTTGATGCGCACATCAAGAGATGGAGTTGCAATAGATAACTAATGGAATATTAGTATATCTAAAATCCACACGAAAATGTCAGGAGAAGTTTCGGAAGAAATCTGATAAGTTGTGGTCCCCCCAGTCTCATCAGAGAGAAGTTGGAAGAATCTTCAACAGTGCCATTATAAGTTCCCAAGGGGGGTAGAACAGGACATAAATCTACAACCAGTGAATCCAGAATTGGCTTGACCCACCACCACCGTTTCCTCACGGATTCTGCAAGCATAATTAGCATGAGTCAGGATAAGGAAAAATATGTAATTTTCTGACTAAAATTGATATTTTATACTTATCCTGACTCATGAGGTTAGCCCTCCCAACCTCCCCTCTTATGGCACTCTGGATTTCCCTGTAAATCTGGGTGTCGGGCTTACATACGGAGAGAGTGACAAATATGGCCGATCATGTGACCATTTGGGTGCCAAAGGGAGGAAAGGGACGCTACTCTTGGGTGAGTGATTTTACGTCCGCTTTTTTAAAAGGGAACTTCAAGGGATTCAAGTGTTCCACTATCATTCGCAAGAGGAAGGAGACAAGCATAATTAGCATGAGTCAGGATAAGTATAAAATATCAATTCTAGTCAGAAAATTACATTTTTCAACGTTACGAATTTGTTTTACAATACATCAGTTGATGTGCAAACAGTACCCTTAAACTGTATAGAATATTTTGCAAAATCTAGTTTAGATCAGCTGACTGAAGGAAGTGGCTACATATACACTAGTGAGTCTAAACTTTTGATGGGAAGTATAGAATTCAAATGATTTCCAGTAAGTAGTGATAAATTCTTTGTAAATAACCCAGTGCCTGTCATCATCGTTTCAAAAGTCAACATGAACAACATATGAGGTGATGAAACTGAATTACTGTGATTTAAGAAACTACTTCGAAAATATTTCTGGCTTAGACCATTAAACAAAAGGAATCTGTCTTCCATAATAAAAAGATTGATTCTTTATTTTATAAATGAGGTAAGTTTTAGCTCATAATTATATTTTAAAATGAATCTTGTTTTGTACCTGTATCGAAAAATAGATCCAGTCTCCATACAAAATCTCCTCAGGCAAAACGTCTAATGGATGTCAGTCACTATAAACATAAGGGAAGCAAATCTATAAGTTGCATTTTTAATTTTTAATAAAAAGTAAAATTTTGGAAATTTATGGCAACATTTCTCATTACAATTCTTATTTGCACCAGATAGAAATATCTTTTTGGAAGCAATTGTAAGCCTATGTAAGCCAGTTGTGTTGTCAAGTTAATTTTTGTCACATTAAAGACAAATGGACTGCCATTATTGCATTGTTAAATTTGGAAAATAGTAAATATATTTGGTACCAGAAAGTATTGTTAAAGCAGGGCATGAAGCTCCAAAACATTGCAAGCCCTGACCAAAAATTACTTGCCCACAAAATATCTACACATACATATTTAAATTTTAACCCGACTGGCAGGTGAATTTGAGCATCTGGCATTCCGTGTTGAAAATAACCCATCCCGGGCAGTCGGGTAGGCAGGTATTTCAAATGCTGGTTAAAGATATATGACTTTGGTCATTCCTGTGTTTTTCAGGCACCATTCTACACAGCCTTGACACAAGTGATCAAGGTGGGTTGTAGAGGCGCCATCTGGATATCAGAGAGGATATGAACCTGTGTCCAATGTGTCAATTATATTGTGTCTAGCCCGCATGGGAGGATCATGTGTTATGAGAGTGAAGGAACAGAGGAACTGTACAACATCTCTTGAGATTGAGGTGTGGTTGTCAGACCTTACTAATGAAAGAAAATGAGCAAAAAATCATATATGTATGCATCTGATAGAGCATGTCCAGCTGATTCATTGTTGAGCGTTGCAGACAATAAGGTGTGGTTGTCAGACCTTACTAATGAAAGAAAATGAGGAAAAAATAATATATGTATGCATCTGATAGAGCATGTCCAGCTGATTCATTGTTGAGCGTTGCAGACAATAAATGCTGTCTTTACATTTGTTGAGTGTTGTTTTCCAATTCAAAACACTCGGAATCAGAGTGAATCAGTGAGTTGGGTTTTATACCAGGTTTAGAAATATTCCAGCAATGTTACAGCTATGGGGTCCCAGGCTTCAATCATTGCACCCTTGTGCAGAATCGAACTGGGCCTACAGCATGATGAGCAGAGACTTTAAGCACGAGACTACCCCTTGGTGAGGTGAGGTGAAATTGGGTTTTACGTCGTGCTTGAGAACATTTTGCTCATATGACGACGTGCATGCGTGTGTATGTGTATGTGCGGCTGCTTGTACTAGCCCAGACTGAAGCTGGTTTTATAGTGCTAGCCCACTGAGATACCATGCCGCATCGAAGCATGAATAACCCACTCTGACACATTATACTGACTCCGAGCCGACCAGTCCTTGTTGTACCCATTAATGCCGAGCGCCAGGCAGGGACCAACAAGTACCATATTTTAACGTCTTTTGGTATGACGCGGTCAGGGATCGAACCCGCGACCTTCCACTCTCTCTGGGCGGACGCTCTAACCACTACACCACGCTGGCGGTCACTACCCCTTGGTATAGGAACAGTGTGTGAAATCACGACACAAGATCTATGAGCTATCAACTAATTATGTTGAAATACACATGATTAGGTGAACAATCAAGAAAAGCAATGCAGTGCGCTGAGTTTGTGGTCATAACAGATAACAGGCTCACAACTGCCCCGAGTTTGTCACAGTTCATTTGGGCACTTTGTTCTTGATTCTGGGAATGTTTTGGAAGCACTGGAAATCTCAGATAGGTATCCTGTTCCTCTCTGCAAGTCAGTATGTCACAGGACAAGTGATTGAAGTTAACCTGTTATGGTCCTCTTCCAGGTCAAGCTCTTGTACAGGTACAGACTCAAATAGAAACATGTTTCTGGATTTGCTTAAACCGTACTCATAAAGGGCTGATTTTCCAGTGGTAAACATTGATGACATGCATTGCTTCGGGTTTTCCCAAAAAAACAGACACATCCGGAAATATCTGTAACAGGTTAAAACCCAACTCACCTACTTACCAACTTTCTCCAAACCGATGAACAGTGGGAAAAAACAACAACCTCTAACAAACTATCAATGATTCCATGCAAAGAAACCAGAACAAGTGCTTGGCATCGGGGTAAGAGTTGATCTACAGTAACCCACTTGTCGTAAGAGGCGACTTTAAGGGATCGGGTGGTCAGGCTTGCTGACTTGGTTGACATGTCTGTCGTAAGAGGCGACTTTACGGAATCGGGTGGTCAGGCTTGATGACTTGGTTGACTTGTCTGGCGTAAGAGGCAACTTTACGGGATCGGGTGGTCAGGCTTGCTGACTTGGTTGACATGTCATCTGTTCCCAATTGTGTAGATCGATGCTCATGTTGTTGATCAGTGCAGTGCAGTGTAAAACTAAACTCACTCACTCACTTTTGAAGTCTTATATACACATAGTGAGAGAAACAAGTAAAGGATCACAGGAAAATTCAAGCGTTCCTTTATTATTTTTCAGTTTTCATCACCACAGTGCTATACAAAGCTTGAAATTTCCTGTGTTCCTTTATTTGTTTCTCTCAGTATATAGGCATTAATAGAAGACCACACAAGTACGAAAACATTACCTGTTGTATTTGCTATGAAAACTAAATAAAATGGTAACTGTAGCATACTCTACTCTGATGAAAACATAAACAAAACAAAATTGAAATGTGGTAACCATTGTCTTGCTACCTGAGAGGAATACACAAAAAGTTAATACAATGCCAGAAGCTATGGTCCCCATGACTACACCACCAATTTAATTGTCACTTAATTCTCAAATAATGATTGTTGTGATTGTATGAATCACCAGTGGCGACAACATCAATACCTGGCGTAGCCAACACTTGCAGTGTAACATCTAACCGTCTCCTCAGAAGAATTCCATCCAACAAACCCATCTTGTCCTTTTTGATAAAGGCCAATAAAACTAATGAATTTAATTATATAATTAAATTTTCAGTCCCTTTTGACAGCAACATGATTAGTAAGATTTAGGAAAAGCATGTTAAATATGCGGACCTCACCTTTGAAATGTCTGGCGTGCATCCCAAGTACACTGTCGTCAGGCTCCCCATTGTTCTCGGTGCCCTTGGTTTGATATCTCCTGATCTTTTGTCGCAGATCAGGAGAGTGGCCGGGTTCTCCACCGGGAGCCCTTTCTGACTCTCTGGGTAATGCAGAAGGCTGCAGTTTTGGGGAGTCTACATATTCTCCGGAAAGTTCTTGGTGGGTTCGACAAGGCAGCGTTTCCTGGGAGAAGTCCCATTCGCTGTCTGGCCTCCATGTAGAGGGGGGCAAGGGCCCTGAACTGATGATGAGCCTAACGATAAAATAGCCTGACTTTGCCAGGATCACCAGAGCCGTTTCATCTTAATCTATAAAATATAACAATAATATGTGCATTTTGATAACGCATCTATTCATACAGTAGTATGCTCTATATCCTCATACTGGCAATCAAACATCGGAATCCTTTGTCATTCCTCGCGGAGTGTCTGCGTCAAATACTGCTGATTTTGAACAGGGTGATCTCTTTCTCGAACTAGGGCGGTGGGGTAGCCTAGTGGTTAAAGCGTTCGCTCGTCACGCCGCAGACCCGGGTTCGATTCCCCACATGGGTACAATGTGTGAAGCCCATTTCTGGTGTCCCCCGCCGTGATATTGCTGGAATATTGCTAAAAGCGGCGTAAAACTAAACTCACTCACTCACTCTTTCTCGAACTCGATCCAATGATTTTCGATGGAATTCGTATCGGGGCTCCTTGCGGGCGTTATTAATGTTGCAATGGCGTTGCAAATGGACAATGACGGCTCGAAAAATGGTGACGACAAGCGTTGTCATTCAGGAATATCAAGCCACAGAGGCTTGTAACTCAAATAACAATGGCATCAAGGTTTATACTGTTACTGACGGGGTCTTAACACTCTGTTAAGATGCCATTTTTTGTTGACATAGTGTTTTAGAACCAGTCAGTAACAGTATGTACCTTGATGCCATTTTGTTGCGTTGCAAGCCTCTATATGTATCAAACGAATGTCAAGGGCATGTTTATCAAAATGTGGTACGACGGCGGTATCCAGTACTCCCAGTTTGTAACGTTGACCCTTGAGTGTACCCGGCGCTGTAATGAGATCCAACGTCCAGTCATACGAAATACAACCCGGAGTGAGTGAGTGAGTTTAGTTTTACGCCGCACTCAGCAATATTCCAGCTATATGGTGGCGGTCTGTAAATAATCGAGTCTGGACCAGACAATCCAGTGATCAACAGCATGAGCATCGATCTGCGCAATTGGGAACCGACGACATGTGTCAACCAAGTCAGCGAAACTGACCACCCGATCCCGTTAGTCGCCTCTTACGACAAGATAGTCGCCTTTTTATGGCAAGCACATGGGTTGCTGAAGACCTATTCTACCCCGGATCTTCACGGGTCAATATAACCCGGAACCATCACTGGGCTACCATCAGAGGGTTAGGCTGCATGAATACTCTGCTGGTGATGTGAATCGTTACGGCGATTCATGCGTGACAACGGCCGTCGGTAACGTGAAAAAAACATTAGCGACTTTCATCAGACGAATGAATCCTCGGAGCCTTCACGGTACCTGCCCCATGTACTCTCCATTGCCAGTTCAACCCGTGAAGATCCAGGCTAGAATTGATAATCAGTAACCCATGCTTGTCGTAAGAGGCAACCAACGGTTCAGGCTCGCTGACTTGGTTGACACATGTCATCGTATCCACAGTGCGTAGATCAATGCTCATGCTATTGATCACTGGATTGCCTGGTCCAGACTCGATTATTCATAGACAGCCGCCATATAGCTGGAAAACTGCTGAGTGCAGCGTTAAACAACAACCGGCCAACCAACCAGCCAACCAACCATCCAACCAACCATTGCCGGCTCAGTTCTTCGGCATGGGCGAGTTGAGACTCAGTCATCGGCATGGACGAGTTGAGACTCAATCATCGGCATGGACGAATTGAGACTCAATCATCGGCATGGACGAGTTGAGACTCAATCATCGGCATGGACGAGTTGAGACTCAGTCATCGGCATGGCATGGACGAGTTGAGACTCAATCATCGGCATGGACGAATTGAGACTCAGTCATCGGCATGGACGAGTTGAGACTCAGTCATCGGCATGGACGAATTGAGACTCAATCATCGGCATGGACGAGTTGAGACTCAGTCATCGGCATGGGCGAGTTGAGACTCAGTCATCGGCATGGACGAGTTGAGACTCAATCATCGGCATGGACGAATTGAGACTCAATCATCGGCATGGACGAGTTGAGACTCAGTCATCGGCATGGGCGAGTTGAGACTCAGACTCAGTCATCGGCATGGGCGAGTTGAGACTCAGTCATCGGCATGGGCGAGTTGAGACTCAGTCATCGGCATGGGCGAGTTGAGACTCAGTCATCGGCATGGACGAGTTGAGACTCAGTCATCGGCATGGGCGAGTTGAGACTCAGTCATCGGCATGGGCGAGTTGAGACTCAGTCATCGGCATGGGCGAGTTGAGACTCAATCATCGGCATGGACGAATTGAGAGTCAATCATCGGCATGGACGAGTTGAGACTCAGTCATCGGCATGGACGAGTTGAGACTCAGTCATCGGCATGGACGAGTTGAGACTCGGTCATCGGCATGGACGAGTTGAGACTCGGTCATCGGCATGGACGAGTTGAGACTCAGTCATCGGCATGGACGAGTTGAGACTCAGTCATCGGCATGGACGAGTTGAGACTCAGTCATCGGCATGGACGAGTTGAGACTCAGTCATCGGCATGGACGAGTTGAGACTCAGTCATCGGCATGGACGAGTTGAGACTCAGTCAGCGCGGCCAGGTTCGGACGATCCTCTACTTCACCGATGACCACATGCTTCCTCATGAGGCGACTAATAACCGTGTGGCTAATGTTGAAGATAGCAGCGAGGTTGTGCCATGACATACCTGTGTCATGCATCCCAATAACGTTAAATCATGTATTTCTTAATGCCTATGTCTTGCCATGTGCAGAAAAGTTCATTTGAAGTACTTTAATATTAGTTCAGAAAACTGTTGTGCACATACTGTAATTATAAAATATATATATACCCAAATGTGCTTCGCAGAAAGTGAACATGCGAACCATAGATTCTGAGTTTAGTTGAGTTGAGTTGGGCTTTACGTCACATCGGCATTTTTTCAGCCATATAGTGACGAGATCAAGTCTGCATTAATAAACATTGTAAGTACAAAGTCAAAATGAGTTTTATTTCAAAACATATATTCGGGCGGTGGGGTAGCCTAATGGTTAAAGCGTTGGCCCGTCACGCCGAAGACCCGGGTTGGGTCCCCCACATGGGTACAATGTGTGAAGCCCATTTCTGGTGTCCCCCGCCGTGATGTTGCTGGAATATTGCTAAAAGCGGCGTAAAAACCAAAATCAGTCAGTCAGTCAGTCAAAACATATATTCATTACATTGTCATTTACAAACAGAAAAAGCCATAGCACTAAATTTAAAAGCAGGTAATTTGTTAGTGACATTACACAGTTACAATTTATGATACAGATCAACTTCCCTCAGGTAGTTCACTATCAGATGAGCACTTACGCGGTAGAACAGATCTTTCAGATTTGTTGCATCATAGTGTGAGTCCCTTGCAGACGATAAGTTCACACAGTCAAGCAGAATATGGTTGATGGTGAAAACTTCATCGCAAAGAGACACATGGGGTCCATTCCCATCCGTTTTCAGCAGATAGTCATGTGTAAACCGACTGTGGCCAATACGACATCGTCGTAAAATAACCTCATCACGTCTAGGCTGACAATCCAAGTTGCTTTAACCAGTTGTTGGCTTCAATTCATAAAGTTTATTTCTTCCTACTTGAGTGTCCCACCTGTTTTGCGTGGGGTCCCGAGTATAGCTTCTGATAGCGGGTTTGAAATCACTGTACGGGATCAGCAGTGGAGATAAGGGCTTGTCAAGAGCTGCTTTAGCTGCAGCATCGGTTCTAAAATGTCCAGGATGATTGGGTGACTTGAAGTAACATTTTGAAGTGCTTGAAGGCAAGATAATGAATCTGTAAAAATGATGAAGTTTTTGGAATGATTCTGCTGTTTAATGTAGGTCAAAGCTGAGAAGATAGCTTTGGCCTCGGCAGTGAAAATGGAACTGTTGACGGGAATCCTAGAGGAGACAGTCTTGGATCCAATGACTGCAGCACTGGCAACTTGGCCATCATCCTTGGATCTGTCTGTGAAAATGGATCTATGGGTGTCATACTTGGAACTTAACTGGTTGTATTCCTGTTGGAACACCAAAGGATTTGTTTCAGACTTTTTGAGTTTGGTGAGGGTAAGATCAACCTGTGGTTTCACCATCTGCCACGGTGGCGAGAACAGAATGCGGTAAGGTGCAATGACATTGAGATCGATTTTAGCTGCAGATATGTGTGGTTGAATTCTGATTCCAAGTGGTGGAACCAGGCTTTGCAGATTAGGAAACATGTTTTCATAGAGAGGGTTGAAAACACAATTGTATGCTGGATTGGATTCATTTGAACGTAATTTAGTGATATACTGCAGTGAAAGTTCAATGCGGTTTTGTTCAAGGGAAGGTTCGTTGGCCTCCGCATATAGACTGTCTACCGGAGAGGTCCTAAAAGCTCCCAGACAGAGCCTCAGCCCTTGGTGGTGGATAGAATCTAATTTTTCTAAATTGCTTTTGCAGGCTCCACCATAGACAATGGAGCCATAATCTAGTTTACTGCGAACCAGTGATGAGTTGATGTTGTGTTTAGCACGTGCTTTCCAGCATGCGTTTTTGAAGAACCTTAAACATGGCTATGGATTCCGATGGTGTTTAGTTAATACTTACGTCTATACATGTACTGTAGAAACGGAACGTTACAAAGTCTGGCAAACAAAGCAGGTGCAATCGCTTGGGGCTACCTAACAATTAGTAGATTACTGTCTTTTTACACATGTACTGTAGAAATAAAGTCAGCATTTAAGTCGAATATTCTTTTATTAACGGAATGTTACAAAGTCTGTTGAACAAAGCTGGTGCAATAGCTTGGGGCTACCTAACAATATTACTGTCTTTTTACACGACATTTTACACGTTCATAGGTATTTCACAGAGAAACCCGAGGTTGTATGAGTGCTTACATTTGCCGTTGGTCAGAGCATTATCGTCTCTGTTGTACAGGAGACACAGCTTTGTCACACAGTCGTGTCTTTTGAATCTGATTCCCTTCACGAATGTGTTGTCCAGCCATCTCCATTGGCAAACAATACGCATTGCTCCTAAGAAGGCATTGACGGATGCTGAAATTAGAAATAGTTGGTACTTCACGAGTTTGTATACCGTATCTTTTCGATTTAAGGTGCTGAAGGTATGTTTCTAGACACGTTTTTCACGTAATATTCATTAACTGGTTGGGCGGTGGGGTAGCCTAGTGGTTAAAATGTCCGCTCGTCACGACGAAGGCCCGGTTTCGATTCCCCACATCATGTGGGTATCATGTGTGAAGCCCATTTCTGTTGTTCCCCGTCGTGATATTGCTGGAATATTTCTAAAAGCGGCATAAACCCAAATCACTCACTCACTCATTAACTGGTTTGGTTGGCCCACATAAACCGACGTGGAATAGCTTGAGTATCACCAACCGCGGTGCTCAGCTACAATCAGTCTTTTCTCGTAAAAACTGACCGAAGGATGTATTCTCGACCTGTTTGCAAACAACTGGCCTTTTAGAGTTGACATTTGTAAAATGAATTCCGATCTGATTTTAACTTTGGATAGTGAGTCAGGTTAGTTTTACGTCGCTTTTAGTAATATTCGAGCAATATCACGGCGGGGAACACCAGAAATGGGCTTCACACATTGTACCCATGAGGGGAATCGAACCCGGGTCACCCACCCATCAGCAAAGCCAGCCTGCCCTACCACCCGATCCTTTCGGTCGCCTCTTACGACAAGCATAGGGTACATACAAATATTATTCTATCCCGGATCTTCACGGGTCCCAATGTATTGAGGGGTGATAGAAGAATGTAGTAAACTTGTGAAGTAAAAGGGTATCTCTGTATAATATACTCAACACTTAGACAGGACATGGTCGACATAGAAAGCCTGCAGCTCCACAGTCTTCGGCATTGCCAGATCCCCTCTGTGCTCCTTACAAACACGCCGCCCCTCGGTAAACCTTTTAGTATGTGTATACATCTTGTAGCAGACATCAAACTCCATGCTGTATGTATACCCGGTATGGTCTTCACAACATTCTGACGGAGACAAGAAAGAACGTACCAGAAATACAGCTGCCACAGTCATGTGAGTGAGTGAGTGAGTGAGTGAGTGTGTGGTTGAGTGAGTGAGTGAGTGAGTTAGCAAGTTCTGGGTTGGTGGGTGAGTGAGGGAGATTTACGCCACTTTAAGCAATATTCCAGCAATATCACGGCGGGACAATTATGTTCATGTACAAACTATTTCATACTGACTTATCGCTGCACTTCCGGTTACAGCCGCGACCAGAATTTCACCCTCGATTATCTCGAGTGTTATATCTCCATATCTCTCTCACACTCACACACACAGACAAACAGACACACACACACAGACAGACACACGCGCACGCTCGCACACACGTCAACCTATGGGATGTATGAAAATTTAATGCGGCAACTAACTGATACCTGTTTACTATGCCATAATATAACCACACGATACATTTTGATATACCCGTTATTGACACAAATTTGGATTAGCACAGTGTATGATCTCATAAGCGGATCTAGAAATTTTCAGGACTCTGTGTGTGTGTGTGTGTGTGTGTGTGTGTGTGTGTGTGTGTGTGTGTGTGTGTGTGTGTGTGTGTGTGTGTGTGTGTGTTTGTGTGTGTGTTTCAGGGGGTTCGAACCCCCTGAACCCCACCTTGGCTCTGCCTTGGCAAAATATTAACTTTAATGTGGTCTTTAGTCATTTTCAAAGGGGTGGGCGGGGTGGGTGTTTCGAACCCCCTGAACCCTCCCTCTGGTAGTCTCTCGTACAGACCCTGAAGCAAATATATCCAAGAAAGCCCACGCAAGTCTAGAAAATGTGGCAAGTCTAGATTTCCTCAGCTTCAGGGTCTCTGAAAATGAAGAAAGTCTCAGGGCTCCTTTTCATTATATTATATTTTACTTTACTATGAACATTTTTCAGTAAAATATGTTCATTTCAGAGACTAGTTGTTAGTCTATCCCTCTGGATCCGCCACTGGTTCTGATGCAGTGGGACAATTTTCACCCTGGCAACGTTGCCAACCCTACCGTGGTCAAGTTAGTAAAAGGTCCGTATGCATACGCATTAAAAACATTAATTCTACATTAATCAAAAGAATGTTCCCGAAGCAAAGACAAGATAATCCAGTGATCAACAGCATCAGGATCGTTCTACGGTTCTACGCAATTGGGATACGATGACATGTGTCAACAAAGTCAGCGAGCCTGACCACCCAATTCTAACCCGGACCAAACGGTCGTAGGGTTAGTTTAGTTTGATTTTTGCGCGAGTTCGAGCGGGCTTCCCGTTCTTTCCTGTATCCTAAACTAACGTAACAAGAATACCTACCTCTCCGTTCCTCAACGAACAAATGCTGTGATGATAACTCGACAGAGGTACCTACAATATATAGCAGAAACTGAGGGCAATAGCCAGTGTTATTGTAATTTAATCGATGTGTAAGTAAACGTGTATTTTATATCCATTGAATTATTTGAAGTTGAATACATAACTTGTACACTTCAAAAAACAAAATAAATTCATTACAGATTTTTACTGATTGAGTGTGACATTAGTTTGCTGTGAATTTCTACGTTGTCCATGGCAGATTTCTGAAAGAAAGCTCCAACACCTCCAAACTATCCATTCACCATGTTAATAAACTTTAAACTTTAGTTAATTAACTAAAACCAAGTTATAACTAAATCGAAAGTGCATCAACAAAAACATTCACGCGCGCAAACACGCGCTCACACAAAGTACAGTAATTCACATTGTAATTCTTCCCATCTCTCATTGTAAATAACAAAGTTTATATTTACCTTGTGATAGTGCATATATTCATACTTACTGAAGGGCACACAGAGAGTTCGGCCTCTTGTTACCACACATCTGGCGGTTGGGTCACTGGGACAGTCAATAGCATTGCAGCCGCCCGTCTAACATAAAGATATGTTACTGTATAGTGAAACCAGTGTGTGTGTGTGTGTGTGTGTGTGTGTGTGTGTGTGTGTGTGTGTGTGTGTGTGTGTGTGTGTGTGCGTGCGTGCGCGCTGCGCGTGTGTGTGCTGCGAGACCTCGAGATTTCATGTTAAATGTATGGCTAGATATCTGTATATTCGTCTCAACTATCATCCATGAACCATTCCTATGTTAAAAACTGAACATTAGAGTGAGTGAGTGAGTTGAGTTTTACGCCGCACTCAGCAATATTCCAGCTATATGGCGGCGGTCTGTAAATAATCGAGTCTGGACCAGACAATCCAGTGATCAACAGCATGAGCATCGATCTGCGCAATTGGGAACCGATGACATGTGTCAACCAAGTCAGCGAAACTGACCACCCGATCCCGTTAGTCGCCTCTTACGACAAGATAGTCGCCTTTTTATGGCAAGCACATGGGTTGCTGAAGACCTATTCTACCCCGGATCTTCACGGGTCCTGAACATTAGAAACAAAGTGAGTGAGTGAGTTACGTTTTACGCCGCACTCGGTGATATTCCAGCTATATGATAATCAAGTCTGGACCGGACAATCCAGTGATCGATCTACGAAATTGGGATACGATGACATGTGTCAACTAAGTCAACCACCGGATCCCGTTAGTCGCCTCATACGACAAGCATGGGTTACTGAAGATCAATATTCTAACCCGGGTCTTCATGGGTGTATACTTGTTGCGAGGGGCGACGTTGGATAGGAAAGATGCTCTGGGACTTGGTCGGTTGTGGGTCAACATTCCCGAAGCCCTGGGCTCCGTTCCACAAAGCAATCGTAGCGCTAAGATGATTGTAACTCCCATACTTTAACATAGACTTACGACTGTCGTAGCGCTATGATCGCTTTGAGGAACGGTTCCCGGGATCGTTACTCAAAATATCAGTTAGTGATTAATTTTTTGTCTGGTACTGAAATCATTAATTACAGGTCGCCGTCACACAACAAACAAATAAATAAACTTTATATTAACAAACTGACCCTGACATAATGCTAAAAAGGAATATGTTGTACAATTAACATAATGGTAAAATGGGATCTCGGATCTGTTGTGCAAGTAACATAATAGTAATAAGGGATCTCGGATCTACTGTACAAATTACATTATGGTAATAAGGAATCTCGGATCTATTGTACAAGTAACATAATGGTAAAATGGGATCTCGGATCTACTGTACAAACTACATTATGGTATACTCTGACCTACCTTCGCCAGTCGGTCCCGGTCAATGACCACGGCATCTCCCACGTCTCCAGTGGACTTGGGGCACTTGCTTTTCCGCAGACAACACCAGAGAATGTCCTGTCTATAGAAGATACATTGGCACCAAGACGTTTCCAAACATCTACTCATGCACATTTTTACGCCTACTTTACAGAAACGTAGAACACACTTGTTATGAATAAGATTAGTAGATTTAGAAGGAGAGCACAGCACCCGATCCCTATGTAGAAGAACCACTCCACCGAGCAAGACGAGAACTGCACCATTGTATTAAACATTGCCATGACTCTTTTGGATTGAAAACGCTAAACCGACGTATTGCAGCAACGTGAAATTTCAAAATGCGCATAATTTCAAAACGAAATGTAAAACAATTAGTAAAGCTGGATTATCGAGTTTATTTTTATTTCACCCACGTTATCTCAGAATAATGATGTCTCGGGCGCTAAACCATGCATTGTTAATGTAAAGGTGATCAGACTCAGAATACATCGCTTTTTAACTGGATTTTTTATCCAATGCTTAGAAGATGACAGCATGGCCGCTGAATAGTTATACTATACTACCCAACATTTGCCAAGCATCAAAATAGTCTTCGTTAGCCCATAGTGTTGTCCTTAGGTATTATAAAAGATGCCTCCACCAGTTTATCTCACTACTCAGTCGTTATTAGGCTATATTTCCATGTTTTGCCTCATATTATGCTAATGTCGCCTGTTTTGCCAATACCTCTTACTTTTCCTGTGATTCGTGATTTGTCAACCGAGTCTGGATCAGACCATCCAGTGATTAACATCATGAGCATCGACCCACGCAATAGGGATACACTGACATATGTCAACCAAATCAGAGAGCCTGACCACCCGATATTCGCCTTTTTAGATAAACATACGTTGCCGGATCTTCACGAGTACGTTTGTGTATGCGTTCAATGGTGTGTGCGCGTGCGTGTGTCTTTGTGTTTGTGCGTGTGGGCGCGCGTCTTGTCACATACGCCTGAATTTCTAACAGACAGACAACCTATCTTGTATTATTGGTTGACATGATATAACCAGGGATGACCTACCATCAAGTATTCCAGCAATATTAAGACGGCGGATGATTTTACATTGTACCCATGCGAACATAGTTGGTTTGATTTGTTGTTTAACGCCGCACTTAGCAAAGTTCCATCTATATGGCGACGGTCTGTAAATAATTGAGTCTGGACCAGACAATCCAATGATCAACATCATGAGCATCCGATTGGGATACGATGACGTGTCAACCAAGTAAGCGAGTCTGACCACCCGATCCCATTAGTCGCCTCTTGCGACAAGCATGGGCTAGTGAAGACCAATTCTAACCCGGATCTTTCGGGTACCCATGTGAAGAATCGCACTTGGCCCTTCGGCGTGACGAGCGAAGGCATGCACCGCGAGGCTATCGCCCCAGTCCTTAAAGAATAAAAACTTCCAGTGTTATGGCACAGCCATCAGTCAGGAGGTACATTACACCATGTCTTCCCAAAGAGACATTCCGATCTCGTGTTAGCTAAAGAGCTTTACTTCTTCACCTGGATAAGGAACCGCTCCCTTTCAGATCCTGAAGACTCATAGTAACACAGATAACACGATGGGATCCATTACTGGAGTAAATTATTTTCCTTATCAGGCGTGCGTTCCACGACAAACATGTCTATTAGCGTTGAAAAATGAGGGTAGAATGGAATTCTCCGACAGCAGTGACGCAATTACTTGCCTTGACCTTGTTTCTCTAAGGAGTCACATTACCTCTGTTGCCACAGTTACTTGAGGACGTTTAAACAACCATTGATTACAGTAATGAGTAATGTTCAATTTCAGCGAGCAGCAATAATTACTCCTTTCCTCCAAAAAATCTTTGCCTCAAGAATATGAAAATTGAGTGAGTGAGTTAGGATTTTAAGTCACATCGGCAATATGTCAGCCATATCGTGACTAAATCAAGTAATAGATTTATAATAATTAAAAGTAAATCATAAACACTTGTCAACGGAGGACATGAGGTATATAACGAAATTATAATAGCTCTAAATTTCATTTAAAACCGAACGCGTAGCGTGAGGTTTTAAATGAACAATTTAGAGCTATTGGACAATGAAATTGTTCATAAAATTGCCATGGTAGAATGTGCGTTTATCATTCATTTGTTTATACCGTCCAGATTGACGAGGTATACATTCAAGCAGAAAGAGCAACGTGTTTGGGATATTTGATAAACGTTGTTCTGTATATCTCTCCTGTACCTCTCCTCATTGTCCTGACATACAATCAAACACGACGAAAGGGGAGGCTGCAGTATGAAAATGACAAATAACACAATACTCACCCACAAGGGTATTCTTTATATATTTAAAAATACAGAGTTTAGCAATCAGTTAAAAGACGGATATTTGACGGTTGTGGTGCCCTAAAACCTACAATGGTCTTAAGTGCACAGTAATCATAAATAAACATGAGTGTGCGGAGCTTATGTGACCACGTCACACGTGCACTACTTCTCACTTGAACACGCAAGTGTCTCTACTTCTGCTGAGTCGTGTAAAGTTGAATAGCGTGTAATGAGAGTGCATATTATCCCCACAACATAACAAAAACATACTCTCCGCCCACTCATGAATATTCATGATTTCTGTGCACTTAAGACCATTGTGGGTTTTAGGGCACAACAGACGGTTTTCAAGCTCAGTTTGCTTTACAATACATATCATGATATCGCCATCTGGATGGTGAAAATGCACCTAAACAAATGGTAGGTCCAGCTAAAACTTTCAGCGAATATTTCGATTATCGTACAACTGTGATAAATAATTGTCAGATGGAACATCAGCTTTCTGGCAAGCTACTAAACCGTCTTGCCAAAGTGTGATTTTTTGGGACAGGAAGACAAATATACTATCCCCAAAAACAAACGCATAGGCGTTTTGTATTTTTAAAAATCTATTAATTACCTTTTGTGTTCAAACAATCGTCAAAATATGTAACAAAAGTGTTGATAACATGATTTTACACAATTGCACAAGAAAAAATCGAATTTGTTGATTTTGATGAGATTTCTTACAAGGATTAAAAAGGCATCGCCACAAGGCAACCGAAATCACCTTCCAGTTGAAATTGTGCAGCAAAGAGGATGTACTGTCTGGCTATAAAAATCCAGATTACTTTCGGAAATCGGCATTCGTTTTGAAGGAGTTTCAAGGTCAAATCACTTCGCTACGTCTTGACTCTGCGACACGTGGACTGACTGACTGACTGAGTTTAGTTTTACGCCGCTTTTAGCAATATTCCAGCAATATCACGGCGGGGGACACCGGAAATGGGCTTAACACATTGTGCCCATGTGGGGAATCGAACCCGGGTCTTCGGCGTGACGAGCCAACGCTTTAACCACTAGGCTACCCCACCACCCCCGTCACGTGGAGGGATATGACATCATAGTACTTCCACTCAAAGCACAGACAGAAAACCAAGAACTTTCACGTGGAGGGATATGCCCTTTACTGTATTTCGCCTCAATGTGCTAACAGACAATCAAGCACCGTCACGTAGAGGGATTTGACATCACAGTACTTCTCCTCAATGTACTAACAGATACTCAAGCACCGTCACGTAGAGAGATATGACATCACAGTATGTCTCCTCAATGTACTAACAGATACTCAAGCACCGTCACGTAGAGAGATATGACTTCACAGTATTTCTCGGAGTCCTCAATGTACTAACAGATACTCAAGCACCGTCACGTAGAGAGATATGACTTCACAGTATTTCTCGGAGTCCTCAATGTACTAACAGATACTCAAGCACCGTCACGTAGAGAGATATGACTTCACAGTATTTCTCGGAGTCCTCAATGTACTAACAGATACTCAAGCACCGTCACGTGGAGGGATATGACATCATAATACTTCTCCTCAAAGCACAGACAGAAAACCAACAACTTTCACGTGGAGGAATATGCCCTTTACTGTATTTCGCCTCAATGTACTAACAGATACTCAAGCACCGTCACGTAGAGAGATATGACATCACAGTACTTCTCCTCAATGTACTAACACACTATCAAGCACCGTCACGTGGAGGGATACGACATCACAGTACTTCTCCTCAATGTGCTAACACACTATCAAGCACCGTCACGTGGAGTGAAATGCCCTTAACAGTTCTTCTCTTCGATGCGCTGACAGATAATCAGACACTGTCAAATGGAAGGATCTGTCCTTCGATGCGCTGACAGATAATCAGACACTGTCAAATGGAAGGATCTGTCCTTCGATGCGCTGACAGATAATCAGACACTGTCAAATGGATAGATCTGTCCTTTACAGTACTTCTCTTCAATGTACTGACACAGACAAGAGGCATTGCCGACATGCCTGACGCCCTGTTTGATCTTCAGCTTACCCTTGCAGATAACAGGAAGTATATTCACCACTGTACTGTTGAATGAGACGTGACGCACAGGCCTGGAAATATAGGGAATCGCCAGTAAAGACCAAAGCGATCAGCATCATTATCAAAAACTAAAACTTCCTTAAAGTATTGTAAACTATTTTATAACACTAGATTGTCTGTAGCAAATTATAAGCCTAAACTAATCTGATACCTGAAATGCACCAGCATCCGCCCCGCCATGCCTCTCTTCCAGAAAAGCCGCCAACATTGTCTGAAAAATGATGAAGCTTAACCATTGAGTGAGGGAGGTAGGTTTATACAGCCTTTAGCAGATGTTTCCTGAAATGGACTTCGCACATGCATCCATGTCGAGAATCGAACCCGGGTCTTCGCCGTGACGAGTAAACGCTATAACCACTAGGCAACCCCATCGCCCCGATGAAACCTGAACACTGCAGAAGGTATACTATAGCACATAAAGGCAATGGCTTCCTTTAGATACCCACACACACGATTCAATTCTTACCAAACATTACAGAAACCGTCAGCACCAGAGAATAACCAATTCCAGTCCGAAACAGACTAGTTGTGGAATATATAGAAATGGTTCAGCCAGCGCTCACGCCTCAGGATTTAAAAAAAAGTCAGATTAGAAATACGATTCTTACCGCTGCTTTGGAAAAAGGAAACCAACTATTTACCATTCTGGGTTCGGGTCTCGGAGTTTTAGTATGAGACAGAATATCCTCCAATACTTTAAGATCTAGTATTTCTTTCTTAGGGAATAAGAACCTAATTTCTTTATATATCTAAAACGTTTGCATCGTCGCTATATGGCTGATATATTACCGAAGCGACATTAAACTTTAATTCGCTCACTCATTCAGTTGAGCAGAGAATTTTCACTTCGATTGCATTAGAAGACAACCTGCTGTGATAACCCTTTAACATCGTGCATACATTATATACCTTGCATTCCGACGCGTCATAAAACCAGAACCGAATCTGAAACAAACAAAAATGTGTACATTCACTGGGATATTGGGACCTGATTCACGTGATCGTGATACAATACTGTACTAGGAAGAATATTCGGAAAGGGATAACAAATCCATTCTACGCTGCATGTAAATTTTTGAGCGGGAAATATATCTCTTGTATCCAACATGAAAATAAACAGGCTGCATGTTGATTTCTAAGAGAGGAATAAATCCCTTGTAATGCAATTTACATGTAGCAGACTGTAGCAGTTAACCAAATCCCTGATCGTCTATGAATAGTTTAATCATTTATTGAATACTTTAGTTATATGATAGTTATCATTGAGACATACGCTCCAATAGGGTTTTGAGATTGTTTTCGTTCAAATTAATGTTATGACATTGAGCAATGCAGATATCCATCGGCGTTAAGATATGATTTGTACGCGTGGAACTTTCTGTGAGTTATTCCCCTTGAGTAATATTACAGCAATATCACGGCGGGTGACGCATGAAATGCCCATGCGGGTAGTACGGATGGTGAAAAAACACTTTAACCACTAGGCTAATCTACCGTCCCCCGAAGGAGTTAGACAAATATAAAAAAAAGTAATTAAATATTAAAGGAAATTGTCCTGAGAACTTTGTAATGAAATAATCATTATCGAAACAAACGTCAATAGATTTAGTTCATATTTAAAATGGATCTATATGGGCTCTTAAATATTTCTGGCTAAACTATATGTTCAAATATTCAAAATACAAATTTGTCAGAGTAATATCTATCCCGTACATGCAATCACGGTAATTTGCAACAAAGAGCTACCAATCTGACATACAATCTTTATGCTCTAACCATCTGATTCATGTCAAGACTATTATATGTGATTTCAATAATAATGTAATCTATGAAATATTTTGTTTGTATTTGTTTCTTTCATTAAATACATTATTTACAAACCACATTAAAAATTGGCATAGCATAGCCGCCGTACGGAAAAGCATGAATAATATTGCATGATAGTCTAAATGCAGTGCTAGTGGTTTTTGATAATTGCTGTCATCCTATCCCGAATGTGTAGATCGATGTTCATCATTTTGATCATTGGATTTGTGGTCCAGAGTCGATAATTTTCAGACCGACGCTGTATAGCTGGAACATTGCTAAGTGCGGCGTTAAACACCAAACAAATTAAATAATGTTAATTGCATTATAGGGATTTTAAATGGTTTGACCCTAAGGCAATTGAATTTGAGGTTACTGTGGGTCTACACTCGTTACAATACTCACACACGTCCTGAAGAGCCTACATCCGGTCATCTGTACACTAGCTCCTAGTATGACCTTATATTTCAGCAGGATCTCGTTAGCCTTTGGCAGTGCCTTCTGGAGTCGGGATTTTCTCTGGAGCGATTGGACAGGGAAACATATTTTGCTAGCATGTTTCTGGTCTATATTGCATTAATTAAAAAATTCGTATAATTTATTAGGTACAATGCATTGCACCATTATATACCGACTGTGGATAAAAATATTGCAAGCTTTGAATAAAAACAAACAATAACAACTCACCACTAGTCTCTGGGCGAAATATATGGTGATGAACAAAATCCAAGGTAGAGATGTCATTAGTATGAAAACAGGAAATCCAGGAGGCGCCGGGATTGGTGACACCATTACCAGAATGACAATGGTTGGCATGATGACGAGCCCCGTGAGGAGCAGGCAAACCAGGAAGAATACGCAGCAAGGAACGTTGTCATAGCAATGTCTACAGATGCAAGATGAAGAACGAATTACGTCCATAGCTTGTTCAAACTGCTCTGGAGGAACCTGAAAGTACACAATCTGAGTTTGTTTAATGCAGTTTATGTACATTGAGGGCTGAGGTCAAGACATTTTCGTGTAGGGAGGTAGAAAGGTAGAGACCGTTATGTACGCTGTGTGCACGCATAATGTGTACATCTGTTTTAACAGTTATATCCCCATAAACATATACACACAAACAAACTTACTATACTGCTTATGTAATAATTCACACAAAATCAGTGTAGAAAACAAGAGGAATTCGCCGAAATCGTTCAGTGTAATAATTCCACTCAAGTATCTTCCTGGGGTAAGGGAGTACGCGGACTAGAAAAGGTGATATACGACTGGAATTTCGTGGCTCGATCGTAGAGCCAGCAGTGGCTATTACGAAATGTGTCCCTTCCATTTACCAATCAGATTCCACCCCTCTTGCATTCGTAAATCAACAGTGAGACGCCCATCTGATCAGTGATTAAACTCTGTATTGGAATAAAAGGGGTCAGCTAGCGAAATGCATAAATTATATTAATTAAAGAGAGAAGAGATTGGGTTTTGGCGCTGATTGTAAACATGTTTTGTAAATCCCGCAAACGACCGAAATTTGCATGGCCCACACCCGACAGTCCAGCCACAATATGAATACACAATGTCATTGATTAAATCGTCAAATGTAACACATATTAATAAAAAAATAATAATAATAATAAGTCATCTTCTATAGCGCAGTCTCCAATCACCAAGTGATTGCTCGGGGCGCTTAATCAGAATCAGAGCCCTTATTCTCGAAACGTTCGTAGCCCTAAGAATTCTTATCTTTGATCGTAGCCAATGTGTTAAGAATGGGCTTAAGAAGTTAAGGGCTACGAACGTTTCTAAGAGAATAGAAGTTCATTATTTAACCCAAGAGGCAAGGTTATTCACATAACAAACTGAACAGAGGCAATTTTAACAAACTCACTTACCTAAGGTGAGACCACATGTATCACATGTGCCTCGTTGTGGGTCAGGACTGAAGTCCTAGAAACTCTCAGGAGTCAAGCTGCCAAACACGGTCACCCATCCAAGGATTGTCCGAGCTCGACGTTGCTTAACCTCTACTGATTCGTGACCTGAGCTCGGTGCACAGGACCACGCGTCTGAGAGTACTTTCTCAGTACAGTACAGTACAGAATCTAGTACATTCGTAACTACTCGTGTCATTCCTGCATGCCGGATGGCGTCTCGTACCCCTCTCGTGGCCATGTTTACGACTGGGCCCTGTCTAAGCGCAAACGGGCATGGAGATTAAAATAGTTCAGTACTATTGCCAAGGAAAGATAACTCTGAATTTTCAAACATGGCTCCTAGAATATCCTATATCCCGTGGGCAAAACAGCAATACAGTCATTCCCTTTGTAAATATGTTTCACGTTAAAGTTTCTGATCCTTTAGCTCAAAGGTTTTGTTTAAATTGTGCTTTGCATACTTTTGCGAAATTTCAAACTTCAACAGTGCCGCCATTTTCATGCTTCGAAATGCGTTTTGATTGGTTTGCCACGATTCTTGGCAATAATGGCGTACGACAGGGGTACGAGTCTTCTTGTAGGTCACGGAAAGAGGCGAGAAGTTACGAATGAATCTAGTCCATTGTTGGGTTGAGTCCAGTCCGGGATCTAACCCACTTAGCCACAAAACTGAGGCCTACTGGTAGTCTAGAACACATACTTTGTGTCCCCCTCTGACAAGTGTAGATAGGCATGACTCCCATGGCCGATAGCTATGAATACACAATGTCATTCAGAAAGTGGTCAAATGTAAACATATAATATATAAGGATTACACTTTCACTTACTGAGAAAGAGTGATCCCAAATGTAAAATATGTTACCGCCAAAATATAACTCACAGCTTGGCTCAGCAAGGGAGAAGATGGCGCGGGAAGATGCACAAGCCCCAACTATTCTACTTTCAGCCAATCAGAAGTACAGCCTGTAAGTGAGCGTGACCTGAATATTGTATACACAGGCACACACACCACCGCCAAGAATATTAAAATATTATTTCCCTGACAAGAATCCTTACCTCGACACCGGGTGCCAATAAAACATCTGGAACATAAGGTACTCGGAGTAACTCTCCTGATGGGAATTTGAAGTTGGAGTATATCTCTGTGAGCATGTCCATGTTTCCTGTATAAATGTAAGCATTATTCTGATTATTAGCACGCGTGAAGATCTGGGTTAGAATTGGTCTTCAGTAACCCCTGCTTGTCGTAAGAGGCGACTAACGGGATCGGGTGGTCAGGCTCGCTGACTTGGTTGACAGATGTCATCGTGTTCCAATTGCGTAGAAAGATGCCCAGGCTGTTGATCACTGGACTGTCTGGTCCAGACTCGATTATTTATCGACCGCCGCCATGTAGCTGGACTATTACTGAGTGCGGCATAAAACTAAACTCATTCACTCACTCCAGACTCGATTATTTACCGACCGCCGCCATGTAGCTGGACTATTACTGAGTGCGGCATAAAACTAAACTCATTCACTCACTCCAGACTCGATTATTTACCGACCGCCGCCATGTAGCTGGACTATTACTGAGTGCGGCATAAAACTAAACTCATTCACTCACTCCAGACTCGATTATTTGCCGACCGCCGCCATGTAGCTGGACTATTACTGAGTGCGGCATAAAACTAAACTCATTCACTCACTCCAGACTCGATTATTTACCGACCGCCGCCATGTAGCTGGAATATTGCTGAGTGCGGCATTAACCAACAAACCAAGCAGCCAACCAACTGTTTATTAGGCAGGGTATAGCAGTTGACGTACACACAGACAAGATTTTAAGTTATATTTAAAAACTGTAAGTCACGGAAAACGGGATTTAAACAAATTTCACACACCATACATCCTCACTCATCGCGTCCTGTTAATGCGTTATATTTGGTAAAGAGCATATGTGAACGCCTGTTCTATCAAACTGAAATAATTTTTTTCTACAATCTACAATTAAACATACCAGTTATCAAGTATTTGAACAGATCACCACCTAAGTATTTCAGTAAACTACCGACAGTCATGCACATCCACAGTCATGCACCTCCTGAGAGGGTACGTAAGTCCCAAAACATTCAAAGTAACTTTAAACCTACTACTCTTTTAATCGTAGAATATATGTTCGTTTAATTTATGGCTAGATTATCTAACATTGCTAATATCTGAGGGGATGGTGTAAATCCAGCTAGGGTCCATGCAGGAAGCAAATGTACTGTTAGTCCCCATGGTCCCTAGTATGGTGATCTACCTTCAGTTGTTGGCAATATATAGCCTGTTTTTACCTTGTATTGTCATCTATAGTTAGACTGTTTTAGTTTTGATTGCTAGTTTTAAATTCGAATCTGTGATAATCTAGTTATTTTACTGTCCTTCGTTGACAGGTTTTTATAGTTTGCCATTGCTTATTATCCATAAAATTAATTGTTCTCGTCACGATATGGCTGAAATATTGCCGATGTGACGTTAAATTTTAACTCACTCACTCACTCACAGTCATGCATGCGATTCTATAGTGTATGGTTTTGTGTTAGAGATATTTTGCAAAATCGATCATGAAAACTGACAGTACGTATATATGAAAATTATCAAATATCAAAGAACTGGTCTTTTAGTGGGCACAGTACTTGTACATACTACACACCTTTACAAACTATGGCCCCAATGAACCGCTGCCACCAGTCATTACCAGGAGTTGCGTCAATGTAGGTGAGGGTCTTGATACTGTCGGGTACAAAGCAACGCTTCACCATCACAGGCACCACCAGCAGCTGGCTCTCCTCCATGCTCAGGATCATCCCCATCTCAATCTCAAACATGCACCAGTGACTCTGTATGAAGTCTGGAGACAGCACCAACACCGTCTTCTCCGACAGCCGGATGTGTTCGGTGATGTTTTCGATGATACGCTTACCTCCGTGAAAGTCTCTCTCGTGCATGCTGCATCTGAAGCCCATCTCTGGCGACTCCAGACGTCTGGTGACCTCCTCCACCCACTCTCTGTCGGAGATTTCATAGGAGAAAGAAGACGTGGTACCTCTTTCCTTCAGATAGCGGAGGAGCAACACTTGTGCAGTGTGTTGAAGCCTGTGGTTTTACGCCGCTTTTAGCAATATTCCAGTAAACATCACGGCGGGGGACACCAGAAATGGGCTTCACACATTGTGCCCATGTGGGGAATCGAACCGGGGCTTCGGCGACGAGCCAACGCTTTAACCACTAGGCTACTACCCACCGCTCCTCTTTTTAGAAGCATTTAATTTCCCCTTGTGTTTATTTCATGATACCCCTCTTTCATTGAACACCTGGTACCATCGACATTTGATACTGATTCAATAACACATGATAGTCGACTCTGTCTTTGGTGGAGATTTCTACTTTATGGAAATCAATCTTGTATTTATTCCCCAAAGCGCATTATATGCCCTTCATAAACGAAGAAATATGCATGTAAGAAACTACGGTTACCACTTCACCCATATCCCAGGAAACATAGGATGTCTAACGTCTTACCTGCTCTAAAAGATGGAACAGGTCTCGGGGGAGTGCATAATCTTCGATACTGGCAGAGGGTGTAGTGGCCATCGTGACGAGCGGAAGTAGATACGCTGTCAAGGTCACTGAGATCCTGATTACTGTATGTTGATGCTGAACGAATGGGGATACGTCTTGGGAATGTCCAAAGGAACTGCATCAGCAGTCGTCGCATCAGGAGAAAAAACGACTTTTCTCACAGTTGGTTCGTGTTCTTCTTCGTGTTCTTTCAATCTGTCGATCTGGACATTCGTGCTGAGAGACGTGTCGTCCCTGAAGTCGATGCCCGTCGTTGTAATGTCGTCACCGGGGCTTCTTAACATCAACACCACATCCAGCTAATTCATCCAGAGATGGACCCCGAAGAGGCTGTGGAAGGTGATACGGGGATTCTTGGATGGATCCATCATCCTCTGGTTCTGATAGCAGAGGAGTAGTGTCCATCGTAGCGCACGAAGGAGAACCAGTCTTATTTACTGTTGGCCAGAATCGTTTAATAGCTTTGAAAAGTAAACAATTTAGTCTTATTCTGTAACCATCTAATGTCTTCCATTATTTACTTTGTGAATGTATTGACTGTTTCATACCTCATTTTTTATCATTAAATAATCGAATTTCATGCAATATTTTGACTTAACAAGGTTAGGAGGATTTTGATTGAATGACCTCCTTCTCTGGCTTTACGAAATGCAAAAACACACAAAACGATCCCATGGTACCAAAAGATCTGTTTGTACTTCCGTTCTAATAACATTGACCTTCATTCTCGGCCAATACCCTACAGAAAAACTTCAAACAGCAAGCATGGCAAATTATCATAAAGTCAACATGGCAAATATCGTCTTTTCAAATCAATTTCTTTCAAGCAACATATTCCTCATACCCGTGGTTAGAAAGGACTATTCAGAATTTAGGATATTGCCTGCGATGTCATAAATATAAGTGGCTTCAAAATAAAGGGTCCCAGCTGATAAATTTCTTCATTTCAGGTATATATAGCAACCTCTTTCACAATATAGTGTCATTCAATCTTTTCTACAAATAACTGACAATGTTTCAAAATTGAGCATCGATACATTTATATAAAGAGTTTTCTCATGGTACATGGATGACAGCTTGATTAAACATTAAAGGCAATGTGTTTAATTAAAAGTGGCAACAGTTCTTTCATATGATAGTATTCTTCAGTTTTCGCATATTTAAAGCATCTGTGGTCCCTCTGGACCAATTAAAAGGTAATTTTACCCAAAGTATGGTTTTCCAGATTTATCATATACTGTATATATATCATTTGAAGATCATATAAACGTTTGGATGGCACTGTATGTATGAAAAGCCATTACAAGGAAACAAAAGTCGGCACTTTCCATCTACAGATCAGCAAAATCCCTGTTCAACAGTAACAGTCCGTGCTGTACAAATTATCAACAATACCAAATATATCTAAGATACTGTTGAACTATCATTAAAATCACACCAATATAACAAACGAAGCTCTTAAATGTATCCATTCTGAAGAAATAAACAAAGCAAAACAAATCATATATTGAGTATGAAAAAAAAAAGAATAATGAATTTGTCCAGGGGTAGTTAAAGATACCTTCTATGCTTCCTGAAAGAGAAAGGTGAGTCAGTCCTGTCACCATAATGCAAGCATCATTTCTACATATCATTTATTATCTCTTTTCTTACTTGTCAAAGTGCATTCCCAGCTTACG